ATATATATATACATATATATATAAATAAAATAAATAATGGATGATATATTAAATGGCTGCATTTTAGGTTTTTTGGGCTGATTATTTATTTTTAACTGTATGTTTTGGTCCTCCATACAGTAACCCTGCCATAAAGTGTTTCAGTGACGTATGCTGAAGCATTTAATTTGTTCCTGGTGAGAAACAAACTAATTAAGCAGACTAATTTTTACCTCTTTTTCTCCTGTCAGATTAATCAGATTAATTTTAGTATTTTATAGTGACGCTGCGTTTAAATGACAGCCTGAGGAAACGGACTTCTGAGCTTCACAGGAGTGTGCAGACAGTTTCGGGTCGTCGTTAGAAATGAGCTGTGATGCTGTGTTACTGTTCTAAACCGACTGTCGCTCTCAGAGTTTTGTTTGAGGAGGTCTCCTTTGTCCTCGAGGTTAAACTTCACGCTCTGCTGAGCTTCGCCCGGTCTTTGCGGTCGCGCTGCAGCATCTGATGGTGGTTTTCTTTCTTCAGTTTCTGTAGTAAACTTGTTCTGCAGCTCCAGCAGCACTGACACTTTGTGGAGCTTTTATTTTCCGCTGCATCGAGCACTTTTTCCGTCCTGCTGAGGTCTGTTGCCTGACGTCAGCCCGCGGACTCTGCTGGCACGTTTCATTGAAGTCTGGTCTGCACTTCGCATTTTAAATTGGTGAGAATTTGTTGGAACGCAGACGCCGGCGGCCCGCGAGAAGTCAACTCTCTCATTGGCAGCCACAGTTTCATTGATCTGGGATTAGAAACGTGAGCCCAGTGTGTCAGCGGGCCGAGGATTGAGGCCTGTTAAATGGGTCAGTGCTGCCGGCAGCATCGATCTCATCTCAGAGATCCTGCTGGGGACGAGATCGTGATTCGAGTTAAAACTCTCACGGCTGAAACTCTTCAATCAGACTGCAGCCATGATGTGTTTGTGTTTTTATTCATTTGTGTATTTAACGGCGACGATGCTTTGAGCTGGATGTAGGATCAGCCAGCACGACTAACTTGCAGATTTGTTCCTGGTGTAACTTGTAAGCTTGAGCTTCATGAAAACAGACAAAAGGAAAACTGGTGTGTGTGTGTGTGTGTGTGTGTGTGTGTGTGTGTGTGTGTGTGTGTGAGAGAGTCGGTGAGTCTGTCACATTCAGGATAAAGACAGAAGCTCACGCTGCTGACAGACAGATGGTGACCAGGACACATGTTTTATTCATGCTGTAGAGTGTGTGAGTGTGTGTGAGAGAGAGAGAGCAGGCAGCCTGGTTGGCTCTCATGTTACCTGTACAGACCAGTGTAACATTACCTGCAGGCACCTCAACGCTATAGCACAGCTGACTGTGTGTGTGTGTGTGTTCATGGTAAAATGCAGTCCTGCAGACACCTACTGTACCTCTGGTCAGCTCAGCTTACCTATGGTGTGCGTCAAACTCAGATAAACCTCCCCCTGACCCCTGGTGACCCCAAAGTCCTAGCTGTTGATTTAAACAGTGATCTTAAATTTGGAGGTCACTGAGACACTTCCTGTCTGTACTGTGCCGTCTCGCCACAGACGTTGACCAGGCCGGTCACTGATAACAAACATAACTCAACCCCGAGCGACGCTACATGTGATGATGTCGTTAATCAGTGATGCACATTCCTGACCAAAAGTACAAGAACGAACTTTTCTCTGGAAGCTCAGAGACACCTCAGACTGTCTCTGCCACAGATGTGGAGTCATGTGACCTGCTGTTTATTTGTTTTAAAGAGGTTTCTTCCTGGAAATGTCGTCTCTCTCCACGCTGTACTGTCGAGCGCCTGGCAGCCATGTTTTCTTCTTCTTCTGTTGTAGCTGCCTGCTGTCCTGTCACACCGCGCATCGACAGACTCCACCTGCAGACCATCTCGATCGTCTCCTTTACTGAAACCAAAGTTGGAGCTGATGCAGGGGCACGGGAACCTTTCTGAATTTCCCGTGCACTTCATCTCCTCCATGTGCTTCTGCAACAGCTGCAGGTTCTGGTTCTGGTCTAGGATCTGTGGACCAGAACCAGGACCAACGTATCAGCTGCAAGCCGACGTGTGAACATGGAAATGCTCAGTTCCTTCTTTCAGAGCTGCAGGCGTGAAAACGGCTCAGAGCATCGAGATAAACGATTCAAACTTTGTAAACTTGGCTTTAATTTTCCACTTTTCCTGAAACGTTGGTGGATTTTAGGCTCAGCTCTGACACGTTCCCGCACACGCTGAGCTTGGGTCACATGGCAGGGTGGGGTCTGCTTTGTGCCATCAGTGCCAGGCTGTGGATAAATACGAGTGTGTGTGTGTGTGTGTGAGACACCGGGCAGGTTTGGATGGATTGCTGCTGACAGCCACTTCCCTCTTCCTGTAAACACTCCGATCAGGACGTTTCCCTCTCAGCCCTCCTCTGACCTGATGAAGGCCCACCTCCTCCACCTCCTCTGCTCTGCTTTGAAAAGTGCTCATATTAAATCTGTGTGTGTGTGCGTGTGTGTGTGTGTGGGACAGTGTTCTGGAATGGAAAGCATTCCCTCCTCGTGGTCTTTTTGTTTCCTGACACACACTTTGTCAGCAGTAGGGTGTTTCCTGTTGGCTGACTACACACACACACACACACACACACACACACACACACACACAGGCGCACACACACACACACACACACACACACACACACACACACAGGTGTGTGTTTCTTCTGATTTCATGAAGCACAAACCGAGTGACTGAAGCTTGTAC